CTCCTTGTATAAAAGGGTATCTGGTCTAACTAAAGCATATCCTAAACTTTATTTACCTAACTCACACTATCAGGAAATAGTCACAAGCAGGATCACTCTGTGCAGCACTTCTCCAGCTTAAATGCTAGCAAGTAAAAGGAGCACAGATGCAACTTTGCACGTCCGTCCTGCCTTCTCTTCAGAACAGCAGATCCAAAAAGAGATTTAAGGGCTGCAGTTAGATGTACAAAACTCATAGGGCATACAGGATCCAGACTTGTTTTGGCCACAGAGAGATCATGATGAGAACAAGATGAAGAAAGGTGTTCTGCTGACTGAATAGCTGAACTTTTGTTGAGTACCTGCAGTAAATTGTCACAACACCATCAATCGTGCTTTTCTGACAGCCAGAATTCCAGTATGTTTATCAGGAGTAGAGGATTTTGGTGATTACTGTAGGAAATCTGTCAAGTGCAAGACAGTCACACAATTACTAGAAAAGTATGGATAACTTTGTGAAGAGCACGACAGTTGCACTGAGCAATACACTTCTGGCAAAGGAAATGGAAATGTGGTTGCAGGACGTTTTGTTGGGGAGTTGCACACTGTCAGCACAAGGTAGAGAGCAGAAAAGCCTGGCTTCCCCAGGTTAGGAACTCCATGGGGGAGTAGTAGCAAGAGCCGTAAGTGAAGTACCCAGAATGCGCCAGAGAAGCTATTCTGATTTTGGTGCACCAACAGGTTTAGCAAGGAGCTAGCATTTCCCATTGCCTAGTTGTGAGCAGGGTCACAACCTGAAATTACACTTGTCAATGGAGTTTGAGAAGCAAGAGCTTAGGATCTCAGGAATGCCTCTCTGCTGAGTTAGAAGAATGGCTTTGGACTGTGGATAGTAGAAGCCCTTTTTTCAAAAAAACAAATACGAATTCTATATACCTACCCACAAAAAGTATGAATGATCCCTTCTTTTCTATTAAGGTCTAAAGAATAGAAAGCTGATCCAGGAAGGAGGAGACGTTACTTTATCCTCATTCAGAGTAAACCATGCAAATTCACCAGAATGTGTAACACCTACCAGCAATGAAGGCAGTTTTGGAGCAGGAGATAAAAAAGACATTTTCCGTACCTCCTTTTAAAGCTTTGCTGCTGGACAGTAAGTGACTTAAGATTCCCTGACGTTGTAGTTCAATGGTTAGGGTACTTACCTGAGAGTCTTGGGCTGTCTTTGTATTTTATTGGCCACCATCTGTAATGCCACCATCTCTTACAAAAAGGCATAACTCACATCTCTGCAGAGCGTGGTCCTGTAGGAACGAGTATGGTAGATACTGCTAGAATGCACTTCTTAGACAAAGCTGAAGTGGATGATAAGTATATCTATATGATGAGGCACCAGCATCAGACTGGCAGGAACTGAAGCCACTTTGGAACAGGCAGAGAACTGCAAGTATTAAAACATTTTTCAAAAATCAAATAGGGAGAAAAAAAAGACCCAATTCTCCTCTCGATAAAACCAGTTAGGTTTCTGTAATGGATGGCAACAGACACAGAGATGGGTCTAAAGTTTGTTGACAAGATTTAAGCATAGAAAATATTTGCACACAAGTGCTTTATATTTCAAGTAGAGCTGCAAAGAATAAAACCCTGAGAGGTATATCTGAAACTACTCAGACACACTGTCAGCTAGGAAACAGTAGGAAGCTCCTTCTACTCAATTAGTTGTACTGAAACCAGGGTCAGAGTAAAGAGATCTTGAACTCCAAACAAAGCAATGGATTAGCAGCAGCTACTTATGCCTTTACAATAACCTGAGATGGAAGCTACTATTTATGTGGTGGTAGAGTGAAAACAGAAGCCTTCTGAAATACATTCTCCTTCCCTCCCCACAAAAAGATGACAGTAGAAAAAAAATGTGTGCATGTAAAAAAGGTGCAATGTATGTTTATTTAAAATAAGCACTCATACAGAAGGACATCGATAACACATGGAAAATTCAGTCAGATTCTTACTCCAAGTTATCTTTCCCTCACAAAAAGTAATATACAAGCTCAAGATTAGATTTACTATTTGGCAATGTAAACGTTGCAAAAAGAGTATATATTTCCATTAGTAGGTACTTTGTTACATCTTATTCTCGGCTCGCCCCACGTTACATGACACCCGTAGTTAGAACATGACCATGAAGTTGGAAACTGCAATACTCATAGAACTTGGACCATGCTCAAACACACTATTTTTGTAATAAAACCAAACCAAGCCTACCCACACGTAACAGGTGAACCACCTTTAAAATGGTCCAGTCTATTACATGAGATAATGGATCACAAAGATGAAGCCATCTGCTTCACTTTCTGTGAAGGCAGAGTTCAAAAAGGTAGATGTTGAGATAGCTTACTCTTGGATAGACCCAACAGTCTCGGTGTTTAAATTACTACTAAAAACACTGTAAATGGTTTAATGGGTGTTGTGGTTGACCCCAGCGTGCAGCCAAGCACCCATGCAGCTGCTCGCTCACCCTCTCTCCCCTCCATCCCCAACAAGACAAGGGAGAGAAGAGCAGTAAAAGCAAGAAAACTCACAGGTTAAGACAAAAACGGTTTAATAAGTGAAGGAAAGAGCAAAAAAATCAAACCACCAAGTGATGCAACGGCAATCACTCACTACCTCCCACAGGCAGACCAGTCTGCAAACAACAAGCACCTTAGAAGCCAACCTCCCCCCCCTAACTTCTTCCTCTACCCCATTTTTATTGTTGAGGGTGACGATATATGATATGGAATAGCCCTTTGGCCAGTTCAGGTTGGCTGTCCCAGCCATGTCCCATCCCAGTCTCCTGCCTACCTACAGCCTACTCACTGTGGGGGCAGAGTGGGAAAAAGAGAAAGCCTTGATGCTGTGCGGGGACTGCTCAGCAACAGCCAAAACATTGGTGTGTTATCACCACTGTTTCAGCCACAAATCTGAAACATAGCACCATATAGGCTGCTACGAAGAAAGTTAACTCCATTTCAGCCAGACTCAGCACAGAAAGAAAGCCTAATGATTCAGCTATTAATCTGTGTGAGATCTATCACATCGTGGATCACTATTTGGAAGCCTGAAATCAAAAGCAAGTCATCTACTGTAAAATGCTTGCAGCATATGAAACCGTGTGACAAACGTATCACATCTGAAAGCAGTCCACTACAATTGACATTACTCTTAACATCTGCAGTAGTGTCTTTGACCAGTGCATTTATAAAACAAGCAAGCCCAAGGCCTTCCCCAAACATACAACTTCATATGTGAGCTTGTAGGACTTGTGTCCATGTGATTAAAACTGATCTGTCTTCCTCCTACAGTTTGGATATTGGTATTTATAGTTTACTCCCAGTAGGTTGTAAGCAGTATTGTACAGTAGATATGCATAAATAGAATCATAAAAAAAAAAAGCTAACAAGGTGCTCAGAAAGGCAGTTCGTGCTCAGAAAGGCAGTTCAGTGACTTTGCCACAGCACATGAGAACTCAGTTTACGATGCATGCTTACTCTAGTTCCCAGGGGGGAACCATCAGAAACTGGAGTTTCCATGCATCTCTTCTCCTGCCCATAAGTAAACATCCTGGGAATGGAGAGCAGAAGTGATGGTCTGTGGAAATCAGCAGTGTCTCTCCACAGTCCTTGAGAGCTCCTCAGTGTTTGCAGGAACCAAAATAACCCAAACACTACTACTCTCAAAGACAGTAAGTTTTTCTTAATCTACCATAAAACTCACTTCTGTTAAGGGTAAAGGTGTTGAGCACCACAGATGTTTAACCCACTGAAAGCCTTCAGGAGTTGAGAGTGTAAACAGTGCATAGCTTTCCGGCACTTTCAGATGTGTAAAGGCAAATGCAGTCCCTCGTTACCTCTTCAGAAAACTACTACTCACCTCCAGAAAGTAATACAGGAGAGCCAATAAGGTCTCAGTAAATAAAGCAAAAAAGGCCACTGCAGACTAAGACTGCCCACAAAAACTAACTTGTAGCACTGAGAGAAGTAATTAGTGATTCAGTTTTACACATAAAGGCCACTCCTGCAGAGCAGTAAGGCTCTGTCAGAGCAGGTCAGTACTCGCAGCTCTGCATTGCTGGAGCAGGAGCTGTGTTGGGGCTCCATCCCTGGGGAAAGTGCCCTCCCAGAAACTCAGGAGCATCTCTCCATGCAGCAAGAGCTTTCCTAGAAAGACTGGGCTCACTTATAGTCAGATCTGAACATGAACTAAGGAAAGTTATCCACCCAGATTTTTAAAAGTAGCATTGCTCACTGAAGAGATCTGTCCTGAATTTGAGAGGCTAAGGCACAGCAAGAGTGGCATCCGGGCCGTGGTTTTCCACGTCCAACTTAACACAAACCAAGAAGGCTCCACTTCCAAGTGAGCTGAAGCCACTTTAAGGCATATGGGGGGCACAGTGAACACTGATAATGGCAGATGTCAAATTTAGACATGACCAGAGATTTCTTTCTCTTTTGAATACATGCAGGTGACCCAAATGTGGGTTCTGGGTTACTGGTGAACTAAAAAAAAAAAACATAGTTTTGTTTGAGGTATTAGAAATTTTACATCTTGAGCACAACTCTATCGCTTGCCACGGGCCTTGATGTAGGTGTACCAGAATCACTCAGGCTCTGCGCTGGGTAGACAATTCTTGGGCAGGTTTCGCTCCCTTGAACACAAGAAGCAGCAAAAGCAGCAGCCCTAGCTCCCCTTTCCTCTCTCCCGCCTTCCCCGCCGCAGGTCAGGCTAGCAGCAGACAGGGATATTCTCTATTCCACAGTGCTACCCAGCAAGTAAGTTCGCTTCTAAATATACCCAAATAGAAGTTTCTAAACCGCAAAATACATACAGTTCTTACTGTAAGTTATGCAGCAAAATGTAGGTTATATCTAATATTTAACGGTAAGTGTAGTGTTGTTTAACTTTTTTTCTTTGTCCTCAGTGTAGCAGATACAAGAGGCCCATTTGAACAAAATTAAGATTTCCACAGAAAGTAACAAATAAGTTTACTTTCTGGGTTTTTTACTCCCTGTCATAACGAAATAGTGATCATCTTGCTTGTTCTTCGTAAGAGGACCTCTTGATACACCAGGTGTTCCTTTGTTACATGCCGTTGCTGATTTTCCCTTAGGGAGAAGCTTCTTGGCTGCTGGGGCCAAGCCTTCATTTGCTTGCAAGCTTTTGGTTGAAAGCTGACCTTTTGCAGAAGGCTGCACTGGCTTTTTGGTGACTGCCTCTTTGGCTGAAGTTTGAGGAAGCCGCACAACAGATAAGGGAGTGCGTTCAGGAGGTTTGCATGAAGTGGGTCCAGCCCGAAGGGGTCTACGGACATTTGGCTGCTTATTGACAGCCGATGATAGGTTTTTGCTTGTAGATACCAGCATAGCTGGTGACTTTGATGCTTTGCTAGCTCCAAGGGAAGGTGCAGAAACTGAGTGTTTTAGGACTGAAGCACTTTTCAGGTTCCTTGTCAGGTCAGAAGCTGTTTGTGGAGCTTTCTGAGGATGCTGAGACCCAGTTCCTGTGGTCTGAATAGCATTTTCAGAAGGAGGTTTTGCAAGGAGCTGCTGAGAATGTGTAAGCTTGGCAACAGCACGCAGATTTGTAACAGGCAGCCAAGCAGCCCTTGAAGCAACTGAAATTGCTTTGGTTTTAGCGACAGATGCAGGTTTGCATTTAGCAGGGACACACTTCTGTCTCGAAGCCATCGTTTCAGCTGTCCCAGGCAAGCGAGATGGCTGGGTTTTAGAGGATGAGAGGGCAGGTTGCTGCACCGGTGCCGGGGAGCCCTGAGCCAGGGCAAATTTCACCTTGGGAGCATCAGGGGACCAAATACATTTGCGCAATGTTTCGGAGTGAACAAGAGCTGTCCTCGTTCCTGCAGATGAAGAGCTTTTGCTTACAGGATGCAAAGCAGCAGAAGCTGGTGAGTTGTGTGCAGGTGGCTCCAGTTTTTTTGAGGTGCCTGCTAATGGTTTGAAAGGAGACTGCACACCTGTCGCTGAAGACCCTTGTAATTTGGACCTGACTGTCAATGACTTGGCTGTGGAGGATGGAGGCACTGGCACTTTTGGTGATGCCAGGGCAGGGGACTGAGGACGTTTAGATAAAGCCTTCTTGGCACTGGCCCCGAGACCTGGAGCAGGAGTAGGGGGCTTTGATGGCTGCTTTTGAAACATATTGACAGCTGACATTGGATTCATAACAGGAGGCTCCTGAATTCTAGCTGACGAGTTGGGGACACTGTCACTGGTGACCCCTTTCTGAAATGCCAGGATTTTTTGTTCCAGAGTTGCAAACTGAAGCACTCGGCACGGATCATATTTAAGAAGAAAACCTTGAAGAGTGTCCCAGCCTCCACCAACACGCACCATCACATGCTTGCCATGTAGCATCTGAGAATGGAGGAAGAGGGGGTGGGAGAAGGAGAAGAACAGGAGAAATTTCTATCTCATTTTATGCAGCATTATGTCTTCATCTTACATTAGCATATATTGAAATCCACTAGAAATAGGACCTGCTTTCTTACAGGGAAACATTTTAAAAAAAAGTTATGTGGTAAATAAGGTTTATGCTTTCCAATTCTTTTATTACATAGCTTCTCCTGCAGAGACAGTCCTTATGTGTTGGGAAATAATGAAAGCGTATATAGAGAAGACATTTTAACCATTCTGTCAGCATCTTTATTTAGTATACAGAGTTTTGAATACAGGTTTTGTTCAAATTATGGATGTCCTCGTAACGAACTTATGCCTGAAGAGAGTGCTCAACTAACTTGCAAATCATAAACCCCGAGTGTTCAGGTTTTGAACAAGCAACATTCTCAGGATATTCCACAGCATTATCCTTATTTATATTGCGAGTTGTTACTGAAATTTTAGAAATACCACAGAAAAGCATTAACTTATTTAATTTAGAGTGGTTGTAAAATCAATGGTTGCAAGCCCTAAGTAGTTACACCTGATTTGAATAGAGGACTGGATGACATGGTGTTCCCAACCTAAATCATTCTGTAATTCTAAAACAATACCATAAAAGTGAGGTATTCCACTTAAATTATTTATCTCCCCATTATGAATATAAATTGGAATTCTGAGAAACTACTTACTCGTATGAAGAGTATTTTATCTCCCAGTCTATAACGTCCCTCTGATAAGTATTCAATTGAAAATCGATGGGAACAACTGCAGGGAGGATCTTCTGCTATATGTTTAACCTAGTTATTAAAATTGAAAGCATTTGTTTGTATTTTGACAGAAGCATGTGTTTAATAGTTTATTGAGCTATTTAATACAAGAAAAGATACTGATATCTTCATCCCATAATCTAAGAAAACACTAGCATTCTGTTCCCTCAAAAGAAAGTCTCAGCTACATAGAGCTTCAAAATGTAGAATAAAAGATTAAAAGAAAGAACAAACTACATGTACAAATATTTTGAGTTGTTCCAGTGCAATTTTCATAATTTCTTCAATTTTAAGTCATCTATACTTTCCTTAAGATTTGTCTGTAACACTATGCATAGTAGCATAAAATCCAACCACAACTTTGTAGACACACTGTTAATGGTCCTTAAAAATTGAAACAAGTGCCTGGGTCTCTCCTGTGACCAGATCCATCGCTACACCTGACCCAGGGCTACTTCAGTGTTCTCTCTAACTTTTTGTAAGGCTTTCATAAGTTTATCTTCTATGTGACACCTAAGAAAGAAACTACTGAAAAAAGGAGACAGGTAGCCCCCAAATAAGGGGTGAAACACTGGAACGGGTTGCCCAGAGAGGTATTGAAGGCCGCATCCCTAGAAACATTCAAGGTCAGGTTGGACAGGGCTCTGCGCAACCTGATCTAGTTAAAGATATCCCTGCTCACTGCAGGGGGGCTGGGATAGATGACCTCTAAAGGTCCCTTCCAACCCAAAGAATTCTATGATTCCAAGTACAGGGTTAGAGAAGGTGTGCCTCTTACAGCCACTTAGAAACTTAACAAAATGGAAGGTCGAGACTATTGACAAGCAAGAAAAAAAGTAAGCAAGGATCTGGTAGCTGACATGCCCAAAGAAGCACAAGTTTTACATTACCACACAGAGAACTTTTAAAATAAATGAATTCTAAAGTCTCAACATGCATTTTTAAGCAAAATAGGAAAGTTGTTCATCATTCCTTTTGGACCAATTCACAAGATGTATAAATCATTTGCTTTTCTGCATACATATTCATTTCCAGTTGGTACAACTACAGGTTTTATTTAAGTCTTTTTCAAAAAAGTTTCATCAAAGCCTATTTTAACATTTGATGAAGTTTTATGAAAACATCACATTGAAGAGAAGCATATGTTACAGCCATAGAATATTGACACATCAGAAAAATTGAATGAAAGTATTTATTCTACTCAAAGAAGCAATGAAGGAGGGGGAGAGATCAAGGCGAGTTATGCACCGAGGCATTAACTCCAAAACATATAGGACAGCATTTTGCTTACATTTTCAAAAAAACAAAGTCAAGAGGCGCATACCCTTCTGCTTTCTATTTAAGGAGGCTCACAAATATTAGATGGAAACCAGCCTATGCTTACTGAAAGTACTAAACTTAGTGCTTGATTTAAAGCCCATATCATGATAATACTCACTGCCTCATGTAGCTCCCCATGGTGACAACATGACTTTGCTGTGCTAATAGGTGATGGTGGTCCAGAGGTCATCAGCAGTGTTTCTTCTAACTCAATTTCCTTCTCTAGTTTTACTAGTACAGGAGGTTCAACTCCATACCTCAAACACAAAAGTACAGAGTTAAATTGCTAATTTACTAAAGAAAACAAAAAGACTGATGATGATAACAAACATGTAAAATTCTGCATGGCTTGAGTGACAGGGAACAGCACTAAATCAGTCAGAGGAATAACTGCCTTGATAATGCAAAGAGAAGGAGCAGCTCTGAGTTTCTACTAGAAGTCCTCCCTAAGATGGTCTTGGAGCTACCACAGAAGGCAGTAAAAATACTGTCAAAACCACAAAATTTAGGTCATATCCAATTTAGTTGGACTATCTTAAAGCTTCCAGCTCTGCACTAGAAATAAATTTAAAGTCTAAATTTAGAGAATGATAAACAGATACCTACTAAAAAGCTTAAAAAATAAAGACCTTGAAACTGTATTTAATGTTCAGCGAGTTCTTCCAAGATGTACACGTATCTATAAGCTGAATGTAGAATTTAAACATACAGCTATAAAAGCAGCGTGGTTCAGCACCTCTTAATGAAAAGAGTACAATAAATACTTGAAGAAATACTCATATTATACAGTGGTCCTAGAAAAACTACTCATTACTTTCTGAGCAGAATTAATATCTACCGCATTGCACTTTATGACCAGATTGTCTTAGCTTTTACTTAATAGAATGTATTCTTCCATTTCTTGTTAGGAGCATGTGCAGATCACACACCTGGATACAATGCGCCCAATTTCCAACAGACAAAGATACACTTGTCTTGGATCCTTGTGCAAGACTGAAAGGGAAGAGAATAAAAGGGAGTTACAGCTCATATTTACTGTGGGGAGGCCTGTGCAATTAGGTACAGAGAAGGTAGGATACAGAATACATGACTAACTTTGCCATCATTCTACCCAGAGGGAAGCTACATTATCATGGATAAAGCACTATATGCTTTCCAACTCTAATTTTCTGTTCCATAAAGTGTTTAAACCAATCCTGCTACTCCCAAAATCAAACTCTTCTCTACCTCCTAAGAGATATGCACTTTATTTAGTTTAATGCTGTTCCTTCTTGATGTGAACTGGAAAGAGAGATCTAAGAGCTTTGCCTTCCCTATTCCCCAAATACATTATCGCAGTCTTTAAGACAAAAAGCATTTAACAACTGCAAACAGGAAAATATACTCCACCTGTTCATGCTCGTGCATTCACACACAGATAGGCACGCACACTGTACAGGTGAACAACCCCAGGAGAATACACTGCAAGGGACCTAGCTGACAAGCGGATGGCTATACAGCCAGTCAGCCACAGTGGTTTAAACCCTTGGCTGTGAAAGAATAACCCAGGTGACTTGTTACCATTTCGGTTGTCACTTTAAAAGTTTCAGGTGCCAGCAGGATCCCTCCATATGGCAGATTCACCCAGATCCACTGGAAGATACCACTTTGCCAGTGGCAGCTCCCCTACCCCATGCTATATCCTCATTTCACCCTGCCCTGTCAGCCCCCCCCTCCTGCCTCATCCACCCAGAGGTTTTCTTCAGAATTTGGTATCTTTGTGAGGCTGTGTCTGAATAGGATTGTCAAAACCCCTGACCATAAGGAGGCGAGAACGACATTGATCATTCAGATTTGAACACTAGATACCGGCTTTGCTCACAGAAAAGAAGCAACACTATTTCAGATATGTTAGTAGCGCAGAGTTTTGCACTAGGCTTTTGCTTCTCGAAGACTGTGCCCACATTAACCCAGTTAGTGGCCAATGCAGAGGCTGCTTTGCACTCCTCAATTCAGAGCAGCTCTAGCAGCTGCGTGCACTTGACTGTGTAGGCACACTAAATGACCATCAGGAGAGCTGAAGAATGAGATGGAAGAGTAGAGTGATAGCCAACTGGTGTGAAGATGACTGTGGCAGGTCTTCTGAGTTCTCCTGACACTTTGAAATGAAAACATTCAATTATTTCTACTGCTGCACTGAAGAATGGAAGAGGCAGAAGGAAAATAATGTCTGTTTTGATTTCTTGAAACTTCCATCTTTAGGCGTGCAAGAAAAAAGAAATAAGGCCATGAACAGAGAAAGAAAATAGTTTAAAATCTCACACACAAGTAACTACTTCCTCCTCTGTCCCCATTTAAGCCTCAAAATTGAGATGGTCTCAACAGGTTCTAAGAACAGTTGTATGAATTCTATAGAAGACAAACCATCCCTGTGCTCTCTTCACCAGCTAGGAATACTGCCTAATTACTCAGAAACCAAAGGCTAGGAGAAAGGTCCCCTCAACCCACACACGACACCCTTCTTTCCCTCCCCCCCCCCAGTACAAGAAATGGGGAAAAACTGTAAATACCATTTTCACACAGTGTAACATTTACATAAAACAAGTCTGACTTTCTTCACACTGTGCAGTAACACTATTCAGTAGAAACTGCAAATTCACTCTGAAGAGAAACTGAGACTATCTTTTCATCTGTATTTACAGATGAAATCTAACATCTTTCTGATGTTCAACTTGATATTTAAAACTACTTTGCTTTAAGTAAGAATGCATATTTCCTAAAGTATAAGCCCATTACAAAGTCACATGTTCTTGTTCACATCCTCTACTCCAGTTTGTAAGTCTACTTTTTAGAAGATCTGATTATGAAGGGTAAATCTAGAATAGAAAGTTGACAGAGCCATAATCTAAAAGGTACTAGAGGTCATTTCATCCTTTTTGTGCGTGTGTTTTTTGTCAGCTGTAACAGAAAGTGGTATAATTTTCCTAAATTCAGAAGAGAAAAATCCAAATATACCCCTACCAAAAAAACCCATTTGTTTTGGCTTGATGTCAAAGGGCATCCCATGATGGTTACTGTCCCTTTCTGCTGTCTCATGAGCCACTTATTTCATTCATAGCTATCCACACTTTTCAGAAGGTGTTGTTATATGTATCTGATGGGAAAAAGACAATAGTCAAATTGTCTTTCCCCTTCATAAAGCAGGGCTTGAAAGTTTGATGGAGAACACCAGTGGAAAGAATGTTTCATCAAGCAAGCTGCAAGTCTGCTCATTTTGATTGCCAAAGAGACTCACAGAAGTTATTTATGCCACAAAGCAAGCTTGTGTCATGAGTTGCAATCAGACTTCAAAACACTTCTTGGCTATGAGCGAAAGCCACAGCATTAGGAAATCCTGTCTGCTTATCTCAGGGAGGCTAAACAGGTTTTAGTTACCTATCCACTTACAGGAACTAAGATATTTAAGCAATGCAATTCATACAAGTTGAACTGAAAAAAATATTAAAACTAATTTTCTTAGAGCTCAGTTCTCCTACTCATCTGTATTTTATGGCACTGAAAAAAGACACACTCCTGAGTTAAATCATAATGAGACAGATGCAAATGAGGATGTTTTCTCAACTATTTCAAAAGATGACTTATCCAGTAGAGAACGTACAGGCAGTTCAACTAGAAGGAACAAAAAGCAGTTCATGAAAACAGTGCCTCCCATTTAAATAGCATTAAATGGCACAAAGACTTCAAGAAAATCTAGTAAATACTGTGACACATTCATTTGATTACTGAAAACAAAGGTACTTTGCAATATTTTGCTATTCTGCTTGACAGGCAGATATTATGCCTTTTTTTTTTGTAAAAAAAACCCAAACCAAACAACAAGAAACCAGTATTTGACTTGCCACATAAAGGTTTGCATTAATTAATTCTTACTGACATAATAGCTGGTAGAAGAGTATTTCATTATTTACCATGCAATGAAAGCAGTTCCTCTTAATTAGCACTCAAAAAAATTTTATTCCATCTGGGAGTATCAATCTAAAACCTGTTTGTTATATGGGACAGACTGTGCACTGGGGCTGGCATACACACAGTTAGCAATATTTATTATTATAACTATCTTATTAAGCATGAAAATGCAAATTGTTTAGAATCATGTCAAGTAGGTCCTGAAGTAAATGTTAATTACCAACAGACTGTTGCCACTTCAAGCGCAACGCCCTGATGTAGTTACCAAATTTAGTAGTCATGAATACATTATTCTGAGGGCTTTCTGTAACAAGAATGAGCTCTAATACCAAATAAAGGATCTTATTGTGACTTGACTCTGTGGCCCTGTGGTCTTGTCACTTCTCCTCCGTTTCTCCATGGGCCTTTCTACAGAAGGAAAACATGCAAGTTTGCTGCACAGCTGTCACTCCCCCGTTCATCCCACATGGCAACCTTTAGAAGTTTGGAAAAGCATCATGTGTGTTATAGCAGTCACTGAACTGATTTTTCAAGGCTTTTACTTGAATGCTGCCTTAAAACAGATAAAAGCATTAATAGCTTGCACGAGACAGGCACAATCATGACAAAGGCTTCCAAAGACTATACAAAAGAGATGTCCCTGATCAGGTAGTTATCCACATACAGATCAAAGCAAGTCTTACAAAAAAATAGATTTACCTAAACCTTCAGATTCAAAGAGATAAGTCTCATCAACTCCAATGGCCCTACACCAGTTAAGAAAGTTGGCTGTATTATCTCTGGCAAAAAAAGATCCGGATGGAGCATCCTTCTTACATGGAACTTTTCTCATAGGAAAACTCTGGCAAGGGAAGAAAACAAAAAGTACATTGTGCACATCAACATTGCCAACAGATTTCAAAGCATATTTGCAAAGGAAAATAAACCCTAAATTCAGAGCACAGAAACAGTGGTCAGTAACTATTTTGTGTTCAACCCACGATGTATTCTATTAAAAAAAGCTACACTAATATAGAAGACATTCCACATTTTCATTGTGAAAAGTCACAGAGTGAACGATCCTTAGCTCTGCAGCCTCTCCCAAAACTGCCTATACAGTTGCTACCCCTCTTCCCCACATGCTGGGGTAGGAGTTTTACTGGTGGTTTCACAGGTCTGGATAATTATTCCCCCTTCCCAAGCTCTGCTCACAGCAGCAGAACAAGCACAGCTAGAGAACCCCAGATCAACTAAGCTATACTTAGCTGCCAGATTGCAACACGTTAGAGCCTGTTCTAGAAAGCAGAGGGAATTAGAAGGGAGCAAGAGGCAGTTTCCTTTAAAGCAATTCCGTACTTATTTGTTTTTAAACTGGCATCTTCAAAACTAAAAAAGCAGTTCAAAGATACACAAGTTGTGCTTCTTGTCCTCCTTAGAAAAACCGCAAGGACTTGCAGCATTCATATGGCTCTTGTATAAATACCATTTGGCATCCTAAGACTGCTGTCTTGTCCCCCCTCCAACTATATAATAAAATAATATATAAAAATAAAATAATAATTCTAATATTAATAAATATATTACTTACTGGTAAATATCCATTATTTAAAACTATCATTTTTGAAAGCTAAACACAAAAAAATAGTCTGAATATGGTGAAACAGTTCCTCCTGCCCCCAAGGGAAACACTAGCAATCAGGGCACATTAGCTGAGGATCTACTATTTGACAAATCCAAGAATTACTGTAGCTATATGGGGTACCTATACATTGAACATACACCACCTGAACCAGTGTTACATGGTTTTATACTCCAAAGTGACAGATCAGTTTGGAAGTCAGACTTCCACAGACTGGAAGTTGCTTGAGATTCACGTTTCAACTCAGCCTTGGTTCATAACAAAAACACTGAAGCTCACCTCCCGGTACATCTCCGTTTGGATATTTTCATGGCTGACCTATATGCTAGAGTTTAGCCATCAGTTTCTGGCATAAAGCATACCAGCAAGTGCCAATGACTATCTTGTTACCAACCCACACTGATGTCAGGGGAAGAAACTCCAGGCTTGGACTAGAACGTCCTCTGGCAAGACTTCTGCTGAAATCAAACTAAAAAACTAGTAAGGACCTTAGGATTTGATTAACAAAGCAAATAAGTAATTTGTTGCATGTGGCCAGTTTATCCATCTGTAAAGCCACACTGTTGTTAATCAGTCTCTGAATACACAGTACACAGAACCTTACTTTGAGAAGTCTCACTCACCTGCTTTCCTTTTACTACTACTTGCAATTAAAGAGTTATACATGTATTAAAAATCACAGTATGACTCACCCTTAAATTACTTGAGCTACAACATTTTTTAATTGTGTTTTGAAGAACGCCAACCAATTGGCAGAGTAGTTCCCCATTATCAAGTTCTTCTAGCAGTTGTTCTGCTTTGACTTCTATTCCTAAAAAAAAGGTCAATATTAGAGTTAGTCCACAGAAGGTAAAGAAGTTTCATATGAGCTTAGAGGCAACTCAGACAGTATTCCTGTGTTAAAGACTGAAAATTAGTAGAAATACGTAAGTAAACTAAAATTAAATATCCACTTAATCACATTTTAATTAGACTAACAAGATTCAGAAATATGAATTAGAACAATTAATCATCCTACCTCTAAGAGGTGGCAGCTAATAAAATCTGAAATCAAAGCATGCCTTTTAATGCAATTCTCCTAGCCATTCAGGCTCAAATACACCAGGTCTTAACAGTACTATAGATAATAAGTCTCAGCATTGACTGGAATATTGCAAAGTGCTTTGAAATGACAGGGATTTATTTTTAACCTCACCCAGCAAGCCAGACAGCCAGATTGACAGATCTTCTTGCATAGGCACCAAAGTTGCTTCATGCCGCACAGATATCCACTGGTCATACAGGCACACGTCTGCCAAACCCGGCCCATGTCTGGGAGTCAGAGGACTTCGTGGGCTTAAGGGAAGGTCATCTCCAAACCACACCTGCAGAAGATTTCAGTAAGCTGCAGACACCGAGCTCTAGTATTTGCAGTCAGATGACAAAAACTTGCAGTTCTGAATTATGCTAAAGATCTACTACTCAAAGTGTAAGTGTTCACTCCCCTTCAGACAGATACACCAAACCAACACAATAGTAATCACGAACGGTGCAGCCCTCATTAGTAACTCCTGCATCAAAAGTATTACTACATCCATTGTCTTATTTGGATTTAAAATTACATACTTTCAGATATTAAATTAAAAAAAACATGCATTAATTTGTGGGTTGTTTTTTTTCTTCAGCACATTTTAAGTAATGAAATATGCAGCTTATCATGTAATTTACTATAGAATACTGATTTCTCTAATCAAACATTTCAGAGGCATTTTGTGTTTAAATGGTTAAAATTATGATGTTAAGAGAGGAAACATATTCCCATGCAAGAACATAACACACTTCTTGGACATGAATCCTTAGTATTTCTCTTAAGGATTACATATTTTCAAACTGAGAGATACCTTTACATTTCAAGAAAAGGACCATACTGAAATTTCACATACAAAATTCCCAAAGACAGAAGAGTCCTTCTGGTATTCTTAACTACTTTCCTTCAGTTCAGTGTGTGTGTAAAATATATTTACTTAAGTGATTATATATCACTTAATATAAGGTTTTCAAAAAGCGCCTCAATCATCAAGCAAGTTTTTCAATGTCAGCCTTTGGCTTCAAAATCTTCTTAGGTAGCAGCACTCAGGAAGAGAAAGGATCACCTATCTGATACAACACTGGGTTATCCATCTTGTCACAATGATCCATTTGTAAAATGGGAAAATTATTAATTTTATTTAACTGGAGATAAATCTGGGAATCCTAGCATTTCATCTGCTTCAGGGTACATTTTTGCATTGAAAAAAAAGTATTATACAGGATTCAAACATTACAAAAGGCATTTACCTGGACTGCATTCTTCATGGTCACCTGCATTTACATTAGTTTCTCACCCTGAGGAAAGAGAAGAGAATTTCTAATAGAGTCCCTCCTGCTTTCATGAAATCCCAAGAAAAGCCCCCTAGTACTGTTTTGGAAAAATAAGAACAAGTCTAATCGGGAACGGAGGGGGAAAGAGGAAAGTGTCTTAGTAGCTAAGGTTTTGATCCAGTACTCGGTCAACTTCAGTTCTCTGTACTTAAATAAAACAGCAGTTATTACAGCACAAAGTAGCAACTAACTTCGTATGCATAAATAATAGTCAAAGGTTTGCATGATTTTATGGAGCTGTAAGGCATTTACTTTGTCAAAGTGAAATATAAATACTTCAAACCATTCTTGGATTTAACAACGCTGGCATTCACCCTTTCCTTCTAAGCTATCGTATCTTGTACATGCATGCATACACATATATGCATCCTGAATTTACATTAAATACTTTGAAGATTATGAAAATCTTCAAGAAAGGAAATTATTTTGAAGAATGAGATTTCTTCTTGCATAGATATATGAGAGAAATCAATGTTTTTATAAATTTCTGTTGGGATGTTGACTTTCCAGGCAGCTAGCCACACCTATGTTTTCAACTGAATGCTGCTAACTACTGCAGCGATATGGTTATCAGGACAATTCCCTGGCAAAACAATCCTTAATGAAAGTTTTAGAGGCAGTCTGCTCAATGCTTTCGCTCCTGAAGCCAACACAATATTTTCCAGCAATGCTTTCAATCATGGGAAAACCCAGCACAAACTCTACACTGGGCTGGGGATCAGCAAATCTCTCCATGTAGGCTCCAGGTCTAGACATGCACAGTATTACCAGGTTAGCTGCATACACACGTACCAGAATTTCCTCAGTGTAATTCTCCACAGTGATAGTGGAGGGCATCACAACCTCAGAATGTACCTGTGTGTGTCTCAAAGCCAGTTAAAAATAACTCTCAAAAATAACTCTCTTGCTCCGTTACTTAATAGCTGCAATAAAAATTCATCTTACTGATGAAGCTGGAAAACAGATTGCAAACATTGTCAGACAGTTTTAACTCATCTGTTTTCCTTTAAAAATAAATAACTTCCCTCTCCTGTCCCAGATGTTTAAGCTTTATACGTAGATGGCATTCTTCTCTCCTCCTCCATCTGTTGCACAACCTGGCCTTCCTACAACAAAAGGATGAATAGCCCATCACAGAAGACCCAATTCTAGTAAAAATTCCCCCTCTTCCTCTTGCCCAGAAAGCAGCATGGTGCCACTTCCTCCTCATTTTTCCCTCCCACTGCCTTGACCCTCACATGCTACATAGGCCCACACACGTCAGACACTTCAAACAACTTACCTCTATGACCAGCAAACAAGCAACCAGTTTTTTGGGCTGAAGCCACCTGCTTGTATCAGGACTGCTAGCACTTCTCAAATTCTGTCAAAGACACTCCAAATGATATGTTTCCCCCTTCTTTTATTTCTAGGGAAGGAGAAAAAAAAAAAAGACACATCCTCTCCTTGACGTCATTTTTCCTTCTATGAATGAACAAGTGAAGGGTAGGGTATATACCAAGCATTACTAATGAGCATGTTATGCTTCCCACAGCTTAGTCCAGTGGAATACATTTTCCTTTAGCATAAGAAAGCTATTGTCCCAAGAGAGTCACAGTAAGAGGCTTCATTGATTAAAAAAATAAATAAAACAACAGCAGAACAGCAAGTAGAGAAGCTGGTCTCATTAAAATAAGGAGCTCCATATAGGCTAACAAGAGCTCTAGCATACTAACTGCCAAGGAAAAACAAAAGGCAGCCTAATTCACAGGCAGCACTCAAAACATGAACAAAGCAAAATATTCACACAGCAGCTATCATAAGAATGCTCAGCATCTGCAGTTTTGTGGCATGTCTAACAAAAACTAGTGAAAAAAAAAAAAAAAAAAAGAAGAGATTGAGGAAAATTGTGGCACTTGAACTTCAAGCGCCTGCTCTTCTAAAACAAGTTATTTTGTAAGTCCAAACGCCAAAGGGCTCTCTAGAAAGTCAAACAGCGTCGCTTATTATCAGGGCGTCTGAATAACACTTAACAAAAACCCCTCTGATGATATAGACTACCCTGCATGAATTTTGAGCTGAAAAATTAATATAGTAACAATTACCTATTTTCACATCCCAAGCAGTCCAGCTCTGAGATTGCAGGGAATACAGATTAATATATTCAATTTACAGTGAGGGGCATGTGATCAGAAGACCCAGAAGTCTGCCACCTTCAAGTAGTCAGCCTGCAAAGGTGCGGAAGGTGCTGTGGCGAGGCGAATACTGCAGTACCAGGTAGAGTCATAACCAAATCTGACTACTTCTAAAACCAGTTGGGTTCCCTGCATCAAAAATCTGTACATAATGAATGAAGCAATTATTTGATATTGAATTCAGGCAGCTCCAGCTAGAACCACGTCAGTTTCTACACACACCAGTTTTATCAACTCACCTTCATTCAACAGGCATTTGGTATTCAGGGCTTACAGCTGTGAAAGAAAAGACCCCAAAATGAAAATGCACTGTATCATGTCCCATGCATAGTCTCATGCCATGCCATTCCCATTTCCCGGCCAGTTGATATCCCCAAGGTCCCTAGGAGGGCTCTCTACCTGCTTCACCCCTTAAAACAGGGGAAGCACCAGAAACCTTCAACCTCTTCTCTACTAGGGGGGCAACGAGCCCAGCAAACGTAGACCTCCCCCACCACCCGCACCACTCTCAGAAAACACCTCATTTCTGCTGGCGCTTCTGCTGCCAGTAGGCTCCATGGGATGGGAGGAAAGGAGAAGTGTTGCCTAGGAGCACCTTACGGCTGGATCAATACAGCGACAATGATTTACTGCAAGATGGGCAGTCAGCCCCAAATGATACATTGGGGAAGGCAGGATCTGCCTTCGGCTGGTCGACTGCCAAACCTCCAGTAAAGGACTAGAGACATGGATCAACATTAGGAGAGAGAGGTGAGAGAAAAAAAGGTGCCCATCTTCTGACACTTGGCATAGGAACAGGCATTTCTCAGCAAAGGGGATGCAGACACACCCCGGACCATGACCCACGCAGGACAGCCTCACAAAACTGTAGACAAGATAGCCTGCTTAGTGTCAGTTGTATCCGGTTTCACAGATCATTCACTGGGGCCCAACCAGCAAGACATGCTGCACTAATTACAAGCCATTCTTGTAGCACAAGATGAACGGAGTCCAAGTCTCCTTTTACTTCACTGTACAGTTTACAAAGAAATAAATAAAAAACCCCCTACAACTCCACAGATATTTCAAACATAGATGAAGCAGCCATCGACTTAGCTTAAGTGTAACCTAAAGGGATTCACAGACTTATTAAAAAGCCTCGGGTTCAAACTCATTAAAAAAACCTTGAGTAGAAACATTTACATCTTCACCCTGTATTTAAGAAATATAATACATCATCTTCTATTCCATCGACACCCAAAGGCAGTCACAACAGACTAACCTGGAACAGCTGGAAACTGTACATTAGTCTTGACAGTACCTACTGAAAGCCACGTTTTTAAACACTCTGAAATGAAAGAAGCTGTCAAGTCAGTATCTGTTGAAACCTACTACAGCATAGTCAAGATTTTTTTTGGTACACATACCCTAACATGCAGAAGAAAAGAGGCAGGCACAACAAGACATCCACGGAGCAGAGCGCTACCCTCTCCTACTCTCTCCCTCACTAAAGAAATTACAGCGCCCTTTTGTTGCAACCCTGAGTCAGCAGGAGCTCTGCTTCCCTGGGGAGGCCTCAGAGGCACGCAAGAGAAAGAACCAGACCAGTCGGTGCAAGGTGAAGGGCTTTAAGGTGGCAACCAACTCCTTACATGAAGGCACGCTGAGCGTCCTCCTCGGGGACTGCCTTCCCTCACCGCTCTGTGACAGCAGCGAGCCCGCTCTCCCCTTCCCAAGGGCAGCGCAGGCGCTGGATCCACCTGTCCGGGCAGAGAAACCCGCCTGGAATCAGGGAGGAGCACTTCATCCCGACGCGCAGACGGCTCCTTTACCACAGGAGCATCCAGTCTGGGGAGAGGCAGGTTAGCAGAAGACACGTTACCCCTGCCTCCACAGACAAACCCCTCTCTCCCTCCCGTTTCCACCCCACGCTTCTTCCAGCAGAGCGACACTGAGGGGAGCATCGCTTGATGCCCAAGAAGCGGGCTCCCGGCTGGCCACAGTCCGGAGGCATTTACTATGACTTAAATATAAAATCCTGTCTTATCGTGAAGGATCCACCCAGTACATTCAGAATTACAAACACAGAGGCCAGCTATGCCTTATAGGTCCTAAAGGCAGACATGTACTTTTTCCCATGTCTTGATCTGATGCTGTGCCAAAGGTGACACACGGCATCCCTGGAACACAGCCGGCTTTCGGGCACAGCAAGGCGCCAGACGGTGTTCGGCTTGCTCAGCAGTACGAAGGATTTTAGCCGAGAGCACTAGGGCAAATTTCCTACAAAAACATCACCGCGTCCTCCGACGCCTGCGTGAGGCACAGGAGAGACTGGTCTGCAGGGTGCTGTGCAAACACTCTCCCCTCTCCCGTCCCCGGGGGAAGCTCCGCGGCACTTCACCTCCAACACCCGCGCCGGAGAGGCTC